AGGCCCAGAGAGGGGAATCGCCTGCCCCAGGGTGCCCAGCCAGGAGGCAGCAGAGCTGAGAAGTGACCCAGGGAGATGACGTGCAGCCCTGTTCCCTCCACCAGACCTGAGCCCCGAGGTGGAGGGACAGAGCCTGCAGCCCCGCACCGCGGCCCGGGTCCCCTCCCTGCACAGCGTGGCCAGTGTGGCAGCCGGTGGGACAGGCCACTGCAGAGCAGGTCCGGGAGGCTTCCCTAGGAGGCCTCCGAGGTCACGGCAGAAACCGTAACTGGATGGAGCTTTGCCCTCGGGGCCGGGCCTCTCCGGTTTACGCTTAGAGAAACTGAGGCCCAGACAGGGAAGGCTTGTCCACGCCTGGTCTCCAGAGGAGCCTGAGCCAATGGCTTAACTCAGCCCCTGCCTCCCCCGGACCCCCCCACCTCCCCACACAGAGCTCCTCACTTGCCACTCTGGGGCGGGACCCTGTGGGGGAGGGGCTGATCCTCAGGCCTCCTGGTCAGGGCAGGAGCTGCGGGGTGGGGGCCGTCTGATCCCCACTGCAGCCCGCCCCTCCCCAAGGCCGGGCCCAGCATTCCCCTGCCTGGGCCCCCCACCCCTCACCAGACCAGCCTCAGAGCCCTGGGAGCCTGGGGTCCCCGCATTTCTGCCTGACTCCCACCCCCTGGACACAGCCTTGAGAATTTGAGGGAATGTGATGATGAGGGACTCAGCACTGCCCTGGGGCAGGCCGTGCTCCTTCTGAGCGGAGACACTTTAGTGACTTACCAGGCGTTGAGGACGGCCCTGCGGTTGGGGGGCCGGAGTGCCCAGATGATTCTGGGAGGGCAAGAAGAGGGTGAGGGGCTGGGGCTGCCCTGGAGTCCCCTCCTCCACTCAAACTCTTCTACTCCTGCCATGTGGCCTCCCTAAGGCCGTCCCTCCACCCACCTGGCACCTTCTGGACCTCAGGTGATAGGGGTGGGGCACCTGGGAGGCCCCTGATGGCCTCCTGCCCTCTGAGGGGTGAACCCGACTGGCTGAGCCTCCCTAGACCTCTCTCACCCCTTCCCAGCCCAGAGCTCTCCTGCGGCAGGGCCTGAGCTGACCCTTTGAGCTCAGATAGGACAGTGTTGGGGTCCTCACCTGAGATCACGAGCTCCAGGGGGTTACTGGGCAGTGACAACAGGTAGGGGGAAGTGCCGAGTGAGCCGTAGCACCTGTAGGTGCCCCCATGGACTGAGGTCACAGGACTCATGGAGAATTCAGCCTGGAACTGCCCAGCTCTGTACTTAGATCTGAGACGCAGGGGGGGATCGGCTGCCCCCTCCTTGGTCAGAAGGAACATATCATCCATCCAGCTCTGTGACTGACACAGCAGGGTCACGTTCTCTCCTGAGGCCACCGTGGGGCCTGGCTGCACCGAGAGGGAGGGTCTGTCATTGAGCTGTCCTAGAGAGAGGAAGGGGGTGGGCCAGCCCCCACCTCGTTCTGAGCTGAGACCTCCCCAGGGCCTCTCAGAGGACCCTCCCTGTCTCTGTCTGTCTCTGTGATCTCTGAATCTCCCCCGCCCCCACCACCCCTGTCTCTCTCTGTCGCTCCCTGAGACCCACCCCTCATTCCAGCCATCACTCCTGGGGGCTCCCCCCAGCAGGGCCTGTGCAGAGTCTGGGTCCCTGACGGACCCCGCTGGGCTCCTCACCTGTGATCAGGATGACCAGGGGGTCGCTGGGGGCCGACCACTCAGAGGAGAGGCTGTGTCCACCGTAGCATCTGTACTGGCCCCCGTGGGAGCCGCTCACAGGGCCCAGGGGGAAGTCGGCCTGAGACAGCCCAGCCTGGGGCTGCCGGCCAGGGCGCTGGGCGAGGACGCGTCCCCCCTCCTGGTACAGAGTGAATCTGTCGTAGCTGACATCAGAGCGACACTGGAGGGTCAGGTTCTGTCCAGGGGCCAGGACAGGGCCCTGCGTGCTGAGCAGGGAGGGCTTCCTAGACACACCTGGAGGGAAGGGCAGGCCGGGGGCTGCAAGGGCTGGTTCCTCCCAACACCTACTGTGTCCTGTCCTGCCCTGCATGTCCTGCTGTCTCTCCCAATCTGGGTCTCTGGACCTAGCAGCTCTTTCTTCACACTTGGGGCCATCTTGGAGACATTTCAGAAAAATGGGGTCCACTGGCCACTGTCTGCCTGATGCGTCCTCATCTGACTGAGCTTCAGGACGTAGCAGCAAACAGCCCCTCCCAGGTGAGTGTGACTGAGGAACGTCCCTCCCTCGCAGAGTCCCCCTGGGGTCTCCCTCGTTCCTCACCCATCCTCCTCACCTCACTGTGGGCTCCCTCCCATGGCCTGTCCTCAAGCAATCTCCCTACAACTGTCCCCAGATTGTATAAGAGAAGGTCGCGGCTTCCTTACCTGACACCAGCAGCTCCAGGGGGTCACTGGGGCCCAACCACACCAAAGGCTTGTTACTGTTATAGCCATAGCATGTGAATGTCCACCTGTGGCTGGGGGTCACGGGGCTCACAGGGAACAGGGCCTGGTACTGCCCAGAGGAGGTTCGCTGTGAATCCTGGGTCCGGGTGAGCTTTTCTCCTTCCTGAGTCAGAATGAACACGTCTAATCTCAGCTGTGAGCCACACTGGAGGGTCACGTTCCCTCCTGAGGTTACGACAGGGCTTGGCAGGGCTGAGAGAGTGGGAATGCCTTCATATGGTGCTAGGAGAGAAGGAGGCAGGCATGGTCAATGGGCTCACACCTCCCACATCACCCCCAGGGCGGGGCTGTGACAGGGAGACACCCTGAGAGCAGACCCCTTCCTGAGGGCAGAGCCTGGGGCTGGGACCCCGAGTGTCCTCTCACCTGTCACCACCAGCTCCAGGGCGTCACTGGGCTCTGACCATCCATCAGAGCTGTAATAGTAACAGTGATATCGCCCCGTATAGAGCTCTGTCATGGATGGGATGTTGAACTTGGCCTTGTTCCCATGCTTGAGTTGTGTCTCTGTGTCCCAGGGCTCTGATCTTCCCTCTTTATCCAGACCGTACCCCTTGGCATCCAGGGTCCCCTGACACCACATGGTCACAGGGCTCCCCCAGGTGATCACAGAGTCTGGCTCAGCCCAGAGAGTGGGTTTGGGGAGGGTCCCTGGAAAGAAATAAGAGGCTGAGTCCCAGGACGTCCCCACCCTTCAGACCCCAGCTCTTATCCTAGAACCCTCCAGATGTCCCCGTCAGTCAGCCCAGGGCTGCTGTTTCCCATCCCCAGCTGCCCAGGGCTGTCCCCATGTCCCCAGTGAGGAGGAGGGACCTGGGACAGCTGGGGACAGACTCACCTGCCTGCACGCGGGTCCTGGTGCCCAGACTCAGCCCTGGAAGAGAGTTCCCTGTGAGAGATTTGTCCCTGAAGGCTGAGCACGTCCTGTCCTCCCCGGGAGCCTCCTGAGCCCTGGGGTCTCCTGCTAGAGCAGGGCCTGGCTGTGGGGTGGGGTCCCCCCAAGACCAGGTCTCCCTCCCCTCTTCCCATCTCACCGAGGCAGAGCAGGGCCGTGAGGGTGGGGGTCATGGCGTCTTCTCCTACTGGCCCTGGCTGTGCCGATGGATGAGACCACAGTGTCTGCAGGACAGAGAGACACACAGGGTGTGGCCACTTGGAGGCTGGGTCCTTCCCCTCATGGGGTTGTCCCATCAGCAGCCCCACGGGAAGGGGAACTGCCCTCCCCACAAGCCTGGTTCTCATTTCCCCGGGGCTGGGGCTGGGGCAGGCACCAGGCCCTCTGCAGACATTTCAGACAGAACTGGGGTCTCCTTGACCCCCAGCCGCCGTCTGCATCGTATGTCCTCATCTCACTGAAGTTCAGAACGTAGAAGGAAACAGATCCAGAGCCTTCGATGTTGGCCCCTCCCAGGTGAGGGTGATGAGGGCCCCTCGTCCCTCTGGGAGCCTCCCCACAGGGCCTCCTTCCTCCCTCAGCCCGTCCTTCAGCCCAGCGCTGCAGGTCCTCCCCACGGCAGTCGTCTCCCCACCCTGGAGACGCTCCAGGGAAGCTGCAGGTTCGAGCCCACGGCGGACTCAGACCAGCAGAGACACACGAGCGTCTGACGGCGCAGTTCTCGTTGAGCTGCCTTGTGGCCGTGAGCACAAAGGGGACATAGAGGGCAGTATGGGAAGAAAAATGACACCTGCCCTGACTCTGGACTGTGGGTTTTCATTCTACCAAACAGTCCCTTTCTCTTGCTTCCCTTACCCCTTTGTTATTTTTAGCAGCAGCGCCACCTGTGCCTCCCTGGGAACCAACTTCTCAGCCACCACTGCCCCCTCAGCCCCTGGTTTCCTCGGGCGTCACGCTGCACCTCAACCCCTGGTCAGGGAATTTTTTTTAATGTTTTTTTTTTTTAAAACACATTTTTAATAGTTCTTAATACAAATGGCCAAATTGCTTTCTGAAAGAGAAGGCTTTATTTTCACAAGTATTTTTCTCCAGCTTGTATCTTTTTTTTT